ATATTCAAATTTTCTGAGACACTGAATTTTGGGTTTTCATTATCTGTAAGCCATAATCATCAAAATTTCAAGAAATAAAGGCTTGAAATATTTCACTCTGTGTGTAATGAATCTATATAATATATGGGTTTCACTTTCTGAAATGAGTGACAAAAAATATTGACCTTTTTCATGATATTCAAATTTTTTGAGATGTACCTGTATTAGGGATGTGCGGGTCTAGTCGACTAAATGGTACAGCTCCTATTAGTCGACACTGAAAACAATAGTCGATTACACGACAGAAAAAAAAACAAACAAAAAAACATGGTTTTATCATTCACATTACCATCATTTTAACATTTAACATTTTAAATAACAAGTTAAAGTAAAACGTTTGAAAAATAATACATTATTTTTTAAAGTTTATCTGGGCGGAAACTACTTTTTTACCTCAGACCTCACATGCGTTTTCTTCTTGTCAGTTGCGGCGAGTTCAAAAATGACCACGCGAAAGATGAGAAGGTGTGGGATTATTTTGAATTAGAAGGAAACGGAAAAGTTTTGAGTAAACTGCGCACTTCTGCTGAGCCCGCACCGGGGCGAGCTCCGCAGCAGACTTCTACCCGACAGTCAAAGCGGCATTATGTCACGAAAGTGCAGACTCAGAGGAAGACCGCAGAGGTTTAGGGTGCCATTTGGGACAGGGCCCTTCTTTGTTTCCATTGTTGAACACCGCGCACAAATGACGTCGCTGTCTCCAATACCTTACGTCACTTCCTAGTACACACTGTCAGTGCGAATGAAACCCTTTAAATGGTACTGGGAAATAGTTCGCGCAAAATCATACCGGTACTTTAGTACTGTACATTTAGTTCTGGAACTAAAGCGGTGCGAAAGGCCCTAGTATCTTTATACCAGTACTTTGCAGTCATTTTTTGTAAGGGTGCTTAAAAGGTTATAATTTTCAGATGCCTTGTCATTAAATTACAGCATACAAGTTTTACTCCGATATGAGAAAGATATTATTAGTGTCACCAAAGCTGAAATTACAGTCCTTTGTATTATACATTTCTCTTCCCAGGATGCAGGGAGGTTGCTCTATCTAGGGCAAAATGAATGGGCTCATGTAAACTGCACCATGTGGTCTGCAGAGGTGTTCAAGGAGGATAATGGCTCACTTCTGCATGTTCACAGTGCTGTTGCACGAGGCCGTCTGATGGTATGTCATTAATCTCATATAATTCTGGTTCAACTGAGCCATTGGTGGCACTTTATACTGCTTTGAGTTAATAACATTAACAAACATGGTGCTTAATAGATTGTTAATGTATATTCAAATAGTTTGAAATGTCATCATTTAGTATTTAAACATGAACAGTTTATTTTCATCAGGTAAAAACAATATAATGTTTGGCTTTGCTAATTTTCTGACTTTCCTTCCGTAGCGCTGTGAACGGTGTAACCGAACTGGGGCAACGGTAGGTTGCTGTCTTACTTCGTGCCAGAGCAACTACCACTTCATGTGCGCCCGCTTTCGCAACTGTGTCTTCCAGGATGATAAAAGAGTCTTCTGTTACAAGCATCGTGACCTTATAAGTGGAAAAGTGAGCTTTCAGTTTAATAGCATTTAATTTAGTCATAGCTGCTTATTGAGTTGTGGTTTGATATAGTTACTAAAAAATCAGCCAAATAGAGACTTAATGTTGGCTTTATATGAATGTTTTGAGAGGTAACTTTTTTTCTGTAATTTACCAGATCATCACTGGTCAAGGGTTTGAAGTACTTCGGAGGGTTTATGTGGATTTTGAAGGGATAAGTCTTCGCAGAAAGTTTTTGACTGGATTGGAGCCGGAGTCAATCAATTTAATGATAGGTTAGTGTTTTTATTGTTATATAAATACCACAGTTTAATGCACATAAATATAAATGCTGTTTTTTTTGTAAAAAATAAATGTTTGCACAATAATTACACAGTGTTTTAAACATAATTTTACACCGGGTAGGTTCTTTGCTTGTAAAAAAGCTGGGAAAGCTGAGTGAATTATCTGCCTGTCATGGAAAACTTTTCCCCGTGGGTTATGAGTAAGTAGCTTTAATTAATTTATTTTATTTATTTTTAGGAGTTTGCTCCTGACGAAATGGACATGCTAGACGTCTAGTATTGTCACTCGCTTGCACATCAATACAGTTTTTGTTTCTTCTGCTGTTTAGATGCTCTCGCTGGTATTGGAGTACTGTAAACCCACTTCGTCGATGCAAATACACATTTCGTGTTAGGGAGGTCCGGTCACCTGTTCAGGAAAAACCAGTGGAAGAGTCGCCCGATCAGGGAGAAAATTGCACAATTGCCCATAGCCCATGCCCCCAGTCAGGTGAGTACTATGTAATATTACTACTTGCAAAGTGATGGTTTGTACATGGCTTGTACTTATGGCGTTTTTGAATATTATTATTATTATTTTCATTAGAAACTGAAGCCCTGGGAGGGGATTTGTCTTTAACAAATCCATCCACTGAAACAAATTCCACCTTGGCATCTGTATTTGCCAAACCGGACCTTGGTGCCCGCCCCAAAATCCCTTCATACCCCCAAAACAGAAGACCTGCTGGAGGACTATCCAGACCACTGCCTTCTCCAGGTAGTTAATATCATTTCAGTGACGTTGCATGTATGGTCTTCACAAAGTTCATATGAAGCATTTTGATCATTGATTGTTTTTTGTTTACCCAGGAGCTGCCCCATCCAAACCTCACCACATCCTGACTATTAGTGATTTGGAAGACACTCGAAGGACACGACGGCATAGCCCACACACCCAGAATAGCGGTACCCGCAGTCACATGGCCTCCCCTACTCTTGGATCCCCTGCAGGCCCAATTGCATCTAGAGCAGGTGGTTCCCACCACCCTAAAACCTCCCAGCCTACCTCCCCAGGTTTCCCCCTTGGTGCTACTGAAAACCTGCTGACCTCTTCATCAGCTCGTCCTGTCGGTCGAAGTGCTTCCTCTGTCCGGGGTTCTGGAATATTGACGCCCCATTCTACCTCGGGACTGTTTTCACAGTCCACAAGGCAAGGTGGCATTGGCAGCACCCCTTACACCAACCGATCTCTCACCTCTCCCACCCACCTCTCCACAAGACCAAGGCCTTTTGATTTTAATCAGATAGACGCCGTTGAACTTCCACACAATTTTATAGCATCACCACAGGAACACCCAGGAGAAAATGGTGCCTTGCCATTAGGAGACCCTTTGGGTACACAAAAAGGTAATCATCTAGGCAGTGACAGGGATTTCCCTTACACATCCTTCCATTTAGAGGCAGACCTGACTGTGGCACCTGAGCTGAGAACTGAGCTTGAAATTGAAGAAACCGAGCTGAATGAAGGCGTAGCTATGAACTGCAGTGCGCAAATTGTAGTTGAAGGTGAAGACAACCAGGAAGACTTCTGGGAGCCAGATGAAGAGAAGTCCAAAATGTCTGCCCAGAGATTGTCTTGTACTGTTGATCCTTGTAGGGAAGACTGGGGTAATAGTTCTTCTGATGAGGACATGGAAAACTACTTCAACTTCACTCGCACAGTGGTTACTTGCAAGGCTCAAAGGGATGCCTCTCAGACATCTACATCTCCATCTTTAAGGCAGATTTCACAACTTGATGGTGTGGATGATGGGACAGAGAGTGATACAAGTGTGGCTAATAATGAAAACCAGGGTGTGAAATTGTCAAATCAAGCCCAAAAGCCACACAAACCATTCAACGCTGTGCCTCATGAACAGACAGCTAGCAATGGTCTGTGTTTGGCATTTCCAAGTCCTGTTTCTGATTTTTCTTTCATTCGGTTAGAACCCGTGTCCAAATCGGAGACTGTTGCTGATCAAGATTCTTTTGGTGTAACGCAAACATTGCAATCAAGCCAAGACCCTTTGACAAATTTCGTTGATCAAAAGCCTTTAAACACTGCATTTTCTACCTATGGTAATGATTACCAAACCCCTCATTTAATGGTTGAACCAGAGACACCCTTAATTCTTGAGAGATGTGATCCTCTTTCACCCAATGCACATTTCACAGAGTTGGTCCCAGTCCAGGATTCTCCAAATGACCCACAAGACTCCAAAGAATTGTACTTGGATCCTAATAGTGGCCACTTTGTGTCGTCAATGAATGTCTCTACAGTTTACCAAAACAACCACTTGCAAGAAGATTCTGTTGACTTAATGGAAGTTAATGGAATTCAGATTCCACAGCAACAAAATCCTGGTCCTTCCACGGTGTTTACCAAATCTGCGTCATCTTCTGATTCCTCTGCACAAGTTTCTTTTGCAACATTCCCAAATCAGGCACCATCTGCAAATGTTTCCTTGTACCCTGTCCAAACTCCTGAGGGTAAGACAGTCTTGCCACCCATGGAGAGTTTCAGAACCAAATTACACCCACCTGCTGAACCAAGGCATCCCGCCCCTTCAGTTCCTGGAGGGGCAATGCCATGTATTCCCACAAATTTACCACAGAAACCAGAGTCAATGCTGTCTGTGCCATCAGCAACTGGTGTACCTCTTGGGACTTATGGGCCAGTTTCGGGTACAGTGTCTGTCCCATTGCATCCCACTTACCCACAGCCCATCGGCTCTACAACTGTTGGCATGATCTCCTCCTCTGTAACTTCTCAACCATCAGCTCAGTGCCACACAATGCCTTCTGCCATTCAGCCAGCCTCTGCTCCAGGTGTCATCAATGGGTACAACACCACACCTATGCAAAGAGAAACTGCTCCAGGTCGAACAATTTCCATCAATTTTTCAACCCCCAGATCAACAGTTGAACCTCAACAACAGTTGGTTACCCAAGCATTGCCAGGTCATGCTATTCTTACCGTAAAGGAGGTTGGTGGACCTAATGTGGATCCTACACCACATGTTTTACTTGTTAATCGTCTTGGTCAAATATTTGTCAAAAACCCCGAAAGCAACACCTTCCAGCTGCCGACTCTAAATTCCCCTTCATATAACTGTGTGACTCAAATCGCCAGCCTCTTGCAAAGCAATGCCTTGTCCGCAACACTTGCAGCAGCTGGGAACTTGTCCCCAGTTGCAGGTGCCACCATTCCAACCCAAGTCCCCCAAATTGTAACTCCATTGGTACAAACCTCCAACACCATTACCCAGCTACTTGCCACTAGTACTAATGGAGCAGCTTCACTACCAGCAGATGTTAAGAAGTCACGTAGGAGTGCCAAAGCTTCTGGAGATAGAGTGAAAAAACCACGGAATAAGAAGGAGTCTTCCACACCTAGAAGGACAAAGTCTGCAAGCACACATGGCCCCTCTAGCAAACAAACTACGAGTCAAATAACAACCTCCTCAGATACATCAAATCAAGCAGAAAGTGCCCAAGCTATCATCAACCAAGCTATGGCTGGATATTATGATCCCAACAAGACTGTTTCCCTAATTCCCTCATCACCTCGTAACAGTACCGTTGTTGGGCGAACTCAGACAACAAGTTCAGTAGTTTTACCGGAAGGATTCCTTGTTGAATCGGAGATAAAGTCTTCCCCACCAGCAACACCAGAAGCAGCACCTCGACCAAAACAGGTTCGAATAAAAAGAGTGTCCTCTTTATCTGACCGTATCGCCACCAAGAAATCAAAATCTGACTTTTTAGACCTGGACCGCCCTAGTGGATTAGAAGAACCACGCAAGTCAAACTCGGTATCAGCAAGGTAAATGGAACCAGTAAGAATTGATTCAAATTTCCGGATGATTTTCTTCGCTTTCAAACTCTGCATGGATTATTCATTTATCTGTTCCTTTTTCAATTGCAGGTATGGAGTTCGCATTAAAACCCCAACTGTCAAGGGAATTCTAGACTTAGACAAGCTGAACGAAGAGCGAATTAGTGACTCTGAGAGTGCAAGGTGAGCCATTAAATGTAAAAGGGGGAATTCCTGGATGATTTCACTAAAGACATTTAAGTATCAGTATTATTTTTGCCTTTTAAAAAGTTTTGAAATTAAGTAGTAATACATAAATGATACCTTAAAGATTATCAAGTTACTGGCAGCATTTTGAGTCCTGTACTGCTAAAATATGTGTAATATTGTATTTCTGTTTTGAGAAAATGGTTTTGTCAAACTTGAGCAGGACCTACCTATATTTTTTGCATATAAAACAGTAAATTCAATGCATACATGCAGCAGATCATGCCAAATGTCAGTTTAACATGTCAAAGATAGAATACTGAATGCTTTCATATTAATAATGACAAATACCACAGTATTTTTTTTATGTGGGTAGTTTGTTCCACTGAAGTATGTCATTCGAGTAACTGGTGACGTTACAGTATTGTAATGGAAAGAATGTCATGCATGCATGCAATGGCGTGACTAAACCACTGATACTGTATGTGGCCTATCATTTATTTTATTCTAGGCCTGGACCTTGGGATCGTCTTTCATTGCCTCGTGGTGGAGACAGCAACAAGCCAGCAACCTGGGATCCTGCTAACCGTAATGCACTGTCTGACTGGAACAAATACTCGGGTATTATTTTTTATTTTATTTTGCTCATTTTAAGGTGTTTCAATGGATTCAAAAATAAGACTCTTTCCTTTTAGGGATGCTGTCTTGTTCAGATGATGAGATGCCTCCATCAGATGGGGAAGAGCATAGTCCACCCAGCCGAGACCAGCCCCACCTACGCTTTGAGATCGCTAGTGATGACGGCTTCAGTGTAGAAGCAGACAGTATTGAGGGTAGGAGATCATGGTTGGAAAAAATATGTTGAGTGTAAAAGTATGATATACTTTCAATATATATGTATGTGTGTGTGTGTGTATATATATATATATATATTTTGGATTTAGTTTTCCCTTAATAATAAAAACCTTCATTTAAAAACTGCGTGTTGTGTTTACTTATGTTATCTTTGACTAATATTTAAATTTGTTTGATGATCTGAAACATTAAAGTGTGACAAGCATGCAAAAAAATAAGAAATCAGGAAAGGGGCCAACACTTTTTCACACCACTGTATATATATATATATATATGTGTGTATATATATATATATATATATGTGTGTGTGTGTGTGTGTGTGTGGTTTTATTTATATTTAATCAGTTTTATTTATTTAATTTGTATAGGAATTATGCAGAATACATGGCCATTTTCTTTATTCTCTTGCTATTGGCAGGCCAAAGACCTAAATATGTTACGTGTGCATGTAAAGTGTAGTGTTTTTACATTTTTAAATGGATTTATGAACTAAAAAATGATCACATTCATTCTTCACATTCACAGTCGCTTGGACCGCTGTTATCAAGGGAGTTCAGGAGGCCCGTGCTGTTGCTGGACTGAGGCAGCTCACTTTTTCTGGGATGAGCGGGGTGCGTGTGATGGGAATGCTGCATGATGCTGTAGTCTACCTGGTGGAACAGCTCCAGGGGGCCAATCGCTGCCATCGCCACACCTTCCGCTTCCACAAACAGGCCAGTCAGGAGGAAGATCTGCCCGTTAACCCAAGTGGCTGTGCCCGCTCTGAAGTCTACTTGAGGTCAGTTTGTTTGTTTTTAAGTGGTAAATAAGTGGTGGTGACACAGTGATGCAAATAAATATATGTACTTTCTCTTATATGTATATTACTAGTAAAGATAAATAATAATAATAAAAATTATGTGTCCATATATTAGGGCTGTGTATCACCAGCAAAGTCACGATAAGATGCGTATCACGATACAGGACTGCACTAAGTTTCACTTCAGCAGAATTTAGTAAAACAGCTGTTTATTAAACACTGCATACTATAGGGCCATTTCTAACTATAGGCAGAGCAGGCAGTTGACCACTGCATTATGAAGGGCCTCCATAACTGTGCAAAAGCATAACAATATAGGTAATGGCGTAGGTTTCATGTTAACACTGAACACTCCCCGCCAGGTACAATATTCTTTTTTTTTTTTCTGTCATTTTGTTTTTAAGCCCATAAATAATAATGTATTGTTTCTAATAAATTTATATTGTAATGTACTCATTCCAATATATTAATAAAACCATCTTTACATTGCTGGTAGGTTATCATTGCACAAATTAACACATTCTGCGTTTAAAGGGGTCATATGATGCGATTAAAATTTTTCCTTTCTCTTTGGAGTGTTACAAGCTCTTGGTGCATAAAGAAGATCTGTAAAACTGCAAAGACTAAAGTCTCAAATCCAAAGATATATTCTTTATAAAAGTTAAAGAGTCAACCACGCCTACCTAAAACGGCTCGTTCTAACACGCCCCCACATGTCTACGTCACATTGTGGGAAGATTTGCATAACGCCGCCCAAATGTTCACGCAAAGAAAGAAGGCGTAACTTTTATTCTCGCTGTAGTATTGTTGTTGCCGCCGCCATGTCGTGAAGGCGCTGTGTGTTTCGTTGTGAAAGCGAAACTACTTTGTTTGGTCTTCCAAAAGATGACGATATCCGCTTCGTCATGCCTGGAGCTGATCCGTGCTGGTCGCTGAGGAAATACATCAACTTCGCGCTGTGGATTGCCGGA